GAAGAGGCATATTTAAAAAAGAAGCACTCAAAAGAAATCAAATTGTTACAATCTAAGGACCTACAGCCCTATAAAGCTATCCAAATAACCTCTCATTGTTTGGATTACATCCAGAGAAAAGGTACCCTTGTTTAGAAAACCAAGATCTAAACCACTTAAAGAATCTCTGAACTCAAAAAATAAACTAAGCCAATAGCATTTATAAGCCACTCCTAAATCGCAAACTACTAGCAGTGTAGTATTATGACTTGACCACAAAAATTTGCAAATAACCCTAGGCTAAAATAATTAACACCCAGTAGCAGAGAAAGGGTGTTTTTTTCATCCTTATTTTAAAACAATAAAAACTGCTTAACTAGCACTGCTTAAAGGCTATACTAGTTTACACTACCACCAACAGTGTAAAGTGTTCCCTTTTCGCCTGCATCCTCTCCAGCATCTGTTGTTCTTTGAGTTATTGATGATAGCCATCCTGATTGGAGTTAGGTGGTACCTCAGTGCAGTTTTAATTTGCATTTCTTTGATGACTAGTAAGACTGAGCATTTTTGCATGTATCTTTTGGTTGCTCGTACTTTTTTTTTTTTTTTTGAGAAGTGGCTAGTCATATCTTTTGCCCACTTTGTTTTTTCTTTTCGGCATGTTTGAGTTCCTTGTAGATCCCAGATGTTAGGCTTTTGTCTGACATACAGTTAGCAAATACTTTTTCCCAGTCTGTGGGCTATCTCCCCACTCTCTTGCTGGTTTCTTTGGTTTTGCAGAAGCTTGTCAGTTTGATGAGGTCCCACTTGTCTATCTTATCTCTTATGGCATGGGTGCTTGGGGTTTTGATCAGGAACTGGTTGCCAGTTCCAATTTCCATAAGGGTATCTCCTGCATTTTCTAAGGTTCTTATAGTTTGAGGTTTTACATTTAGGTCTTTGATCCATTTAGAGTTGATCTTTGTGTATGATGATAGGTAGGGATCTTGTTTCAATCTTCTGCATGTGGTCAGCCAGTTTTCCCAGCACCATTTACTGAATAGGTTCTTCTCTCCCATCGGTGGTGGGGGCTTTGTCGAAGATGAGTTGGTTGATAAATTAACGTTTTGCTTCTGGAATCTCTATCCTGTTCCATTGGTCTATATGCCTGCTCTTGTACCAATACCTGGCTGTTTTTACTATTGTAGCTTTATAATAAAGTTTAAAGTCTGGGAGGGTGATACCTCCTGCTTTGTTTTTGTTTTTTGGTGTTTTTTTTTTTGCTGAGGATTGTTCTGGGGGTTCGTAGTTGTTTTTGTTTCCATGTGAATTCCTGTATTTTCACTTCCAGGTCTGAGAAGAATGCTGCTGGCAGTTTAATGGGTATTGCATTAAATCTGTAGATTGCCTTGAGAAGGATGGACATCTTAAAAATGTTGATTCTTCCAATTCATGAGCATGGAATATTTTCCATTTGTGTCATCTTTTATTTCTTTGAGCAGTGTTTTGTAGTTTTCATTGTAAAGGTCTTTCACGTCTCTGGTTAGGAAGATGCCAAGGTATCTGATATTTTTTCTGGCTACTGTGAATGGGATTATGCTTTTTATTTGGGTTTCTGTTTCTTTGTTGCCGGTGTACAGAAATGTGACTGTCTCGTGCACACTGATTTTATACTTTGAGACTCTGCCAAAATCCTTTATCAGTACAAGGAGGTTTCTGACAGATTCTCTTGAGTTTTCGAGGTATAGAATCATGTTGTCTACAAAGAGGGATAACTTGACTTCCTCTTTTCCTATTTGGATATCCCTGATCTCCTTCTCTTGTCTGACGGCTCTAGCCAGGACTTCCAAAACTATGTTGAAAAGGAGGGGTGAGAGTGGGCATCCTTGTATTATTCCTGTTTTCAGTGGAAATGGTTCCAATTTCTGGAGCACATTAACTTCTAGTCTTTACAATGATCTATGAGGTAGGCAAAATTATCCATGTTTTTCAATTGAGGGAACTAAAATACAGAAGTTAGTTAACTCATTCAAGGTTATTCAGCTAGTAAGTGGCCAAGTCAGCATTTGAACCCGGGCAGCCCTCTAACAGCTCTTAATCAATGTATTATGCTAGCTCTCAGTATATAAAATATAGTAGACTCTACCAAAGAAAAAATATAATATGCTGGTCCAGAAGTTCCCAACCTCACACTCCTTTCTTGGTAACAAATAATTTCACATACCCCATCAGGATTTTTAAATCATATTTTTTATCATATACAATAAAAGAATGCTTTTTAGTAAGATATTTTAAATCAGTGAATATTAGAAATCATTAGAGTAGATTTAAACACAAAATTTAATCATTATATAAACAAAATCCTTTTGCATTTAGCACACAATTTTAAGTCATTTACACAAGAAAAACAAATTTTTGGTAAAAACAAAATAAAATCTATGCTTAGTTTCATTGAATAAGCATTAAAACATGGACTGAAATTTAGCTGCATTTTAGTATGAAGATTCTAGAAATACCACCAGCCTCCCAACGCTGTGGTCAAGATCATCTAACCTTGTGCTGACATGTGTAGAAAACTAATAGCAGCAAAACACTAATGAAGCTGCTCAGATCTGAACTAGAATGGAGTAGTAAGTAAACACCCGCATCTTGTATAGAGACACTGAAATGAAATCGCCAGCAATGCAGTATAATCATGATGGCATTGTTCACACACAGCAGGAGCTCAGTCAGTATCTGTTAAATGGGTAAAAGACTGGAGAAATCATCTGAGATGATGCCTTTTAGGAAAAGGTATATGAAGATTACTAAGAATAGGTTATATAATAAGAAGTCACAAAAAATGAAGGCAGACTATATAATACTCAGTTGAGAATAAATTATATGCTCAGAAAGTATTGTTTCCAACAGCAGTAAATTAAAAATCCAAAATTTTACTTCTCTTATACTGAAGCAGATGGCAAACTATTTAAATAACAGTCCCAACTCTCTCTTGAGTTAATTAGCCTTGGTTTCATTAAGAAAAATACAACAGAAATAGTTTGGAAAACTGTTTGACAGTATCTTCTAAAGCTAAAAGTATGCAAAACTATAACCTTACAAACCTCCTCTTGTTGCTTATGTCTATCAAAAGACAAGAACAAGAATGTTCACAAAAGTTTTACTTATAACAGCTCCAAACCACAAACAACCCAAATGTGTATCAATAAGAAAATGGACACACAAATTGTGATATACTCACACAGTGGAATTCTGGTCAGCAATAAAAGAGAACTACTGCTACTTACAATATGAATCAATCTCAGATACTGATAGCAAAAGGAGCCAAAGACTAAGCAGTGCATAATGAATAATGTATTTATATGAAACTGCAAAACTGATCTACAGAGTAAGAGGTGAGAATAGTGGTTACTGAGATATTGGAAATGCTCTAACTCTTGACCTGGATGGTGGTTTCACAGTTGTATACATGAGTAAAAATTCAGGAAGCTGTACACTTAGGATTTTTAGACTTTATGTATGGTATATCTCAGTAAAAACAAAAACAGAAAAATGCAAAGAAAATAATAAACATAGAAATCAGAATAGTGGTTGCCTGTGGAGGTAGAGGTAAGAAAAGAAAATGCAATAGGAAAGGAACACACTGGTAGCTTCAACAGTATTAGAAAAATTATCTAAGTTAAATGAGGGCTCATGGATTCATTTTATTATTATGTTTTAAAGGACATATCTCCATATATGATTTGGTAAAAATCAAATATTTATTACATAATCAAAACTTTTTAAAAGACTATAAGGAATATATATTCCAAATTTGGTTATCACACCCTCAATACACACACTCCTAACCAAACCAACGCTTAAAGTGGGTCAGAGTCTAGAATAGAGCTGGTCAGCAGGTTCTCTTTCACAGACTGACGTGACACTGGCTGCTTGGGGCACTGGGGAAAGGCTTCTAGAGCACTCATGGAAATTTTCCAAGCACACTGTGTGTCACATGTGGGAGATGGAAGGACATTCACTAAGTCTGTTTATAAGGGTGAAGCCCACCTTCCCGGGATCCAGATAGGCCCACTTATATTGTCACACAGCCCCAGCACTAAGACTAGACACAAAGACATTCTCTCTCTTTTTTTTTTTTTTTTTTTTGAGTTGGAGTCTCACTCTGTCTCCCAGACTGGATTACAGTTGTACACTCCCAGCTACCGCAGCCTCGACCTGCTGGGCTCTGGCAATCCTTTCACCTCAGCCTTCCAAGTAGCTGGAACTATAGGCACGTGGTACCACGCCTGGCTAATTTTTGATTTATTGTAGAGACGATGTCTCGCCAAGTTGCCCCGGTGGGTCTCGAACTCATGGGCTCAGGCAATCCACTCACCTCGGCCTCTCAAAGTACTGGGATTACAGGCTGAGTTACTGAGCCCGGCCAAGACATTCTCTTTTAGCAGCATTCTACTTGTCCTTTAGTCTATAGTAAGAGACATCTGCAGAGTCATTCTTTTCTGAGAGTATCTTAGAATTCTGGCTATTTAGGGGTTAGAGAAAGTGGGGGAGAGGAAGTGGTACAATAATAAAGGGGTGGCACAAAGGGGATCATTGTGGTGATACAATATTTCTGAAAATACCTTAATTGCAGTGATGGTTACCCAAACCTCCACATGGATAAAATAACAGAAATATGAACTCACTGTACAATGTCAATTTCCTAGTTTTGATACTGTACTACAGTTAAGTAGCATGCAACCACTGGGAGAAACTGGGACGAGTACAATGGATTAAAAAAAAAGACAGTAATTTTTGCAAAAAGAAAGAAAGAAAAAAGAATAAAATCCTGGCTGTTTAAGCTACCATTGAAAGAGGACTGCAGGGAAAAAAAAATCAAGTTAACTAAAGAGCTATGTGATTATATTTTTATTCCACATAAAACAGTCTATAAGAGAAAGACACAAGCCATAAGAACTTTATCATTATTTTTCATTTAACCCATGACTATCAGCTAACTCCAAGAGAATTGTATTCAGATAGTAAGAAGTAAACACCTAGATTAACTTACCACATCAAGTTTTGCCCATGCATCATAATCGTAAGATTTTATTCTGTTTTTTGTGTTTTCCTCTTTGGTTTTTTTGGAAGACTCCTTAGTGTTGCCTTTCCTCTTTTTCCTAAAATTCCCATTTCTAATAGGAGGTAAATTCTACGGAGGAAAAGACCCACAGTTTTAAGTACTCTGCTCTATTACTCTTTGTATAACTAGCTATGTTTACAACTCTCATTACATTATATTTTCAAGAAGTAATTTTTAAATTTAATTTTTCAAGAGCTTAAAAATACCAATTTACCATCTTCAGTTATGATAATAATTATGCTTGACAAATCTAATTCACCTTTTGAAGAATGTTGAAAATTGTTCAGTCACAAGAAAAAGTATTAACCCGGAAATTCTAACTATACCTTTAATTTGCAATCCTAAATTCAAATTTCAACAACTACCTAATCGTCAGCCTTAGTTCAATGAATTGCAGTAGCACAAAGGCAAACCAAACTACCTCCACATGATTATGCTCAGTATGAAAAACCTAGCCATTCTTAAATTGTAGCTTCCAGAAAAACGTTTGGCTGCACTCAGGTACTTTCTGCATTTTTATGCCAATATGGTATGTTAATATATAATTATATACGTATAACTATACATATTTTTATACACATACACAACTCTATTTTATGATGCTATTCATTTACCTTTAAGTATTATCACATGATCATCCTTTCAGTAACTATTCACTAAGCCTTAGAATATCTTAATTTTTTTTTTTTTTTTTTTTGAGTTGGAGTCTCACTCTGTCGCCCAGACTGGAGTGCAGTGGCCGCTCCCGGCCACCACAGCCTCAACCTGCTGGGCTCCAGCGATCCTTCCACCTCAGCCTTCCAAGTAGCTGGAACTACAGGTGCACGCTACCACGCCCAGCTAATTTTTTATTTATTGTAGAGATGAGGGCTTGACAAGTTGCCCAGGCAGGTCTCGAACCCACAGGCTCAGGCAATTCACTTACCTCAGCCTCCCAAAGGTGCAGGATTACAGGCTGAGCCACCGAGCCCGGCTATCTTAATATAATTAATACATGGCTGGGCTCAGTGGCTCAGCCTGTAATCCCAGCACTTTGGGAGGCAGAGGCAAATGGAATGCCTGAGCTCGCAGGTTCGAGACCCACCCAGGCAACTTAGTGAGACCTCATCTCTACAACAAATAAAAAATTAGCTGGCCATGGTAGCACACGCCTGTAGTTCTGGCTACTTGGAAGGCTGAAGCGGAAGGATCACCGGAGCCCAGCAGGTTGAGGCTGCGGTGGCCAGAAGCGTGCCACTGCTCTCCAGTCTGGGCAACAGAGTGAGACTCCCACTCAAAAAAATAAAAAATAAATAAAATAGTTAGTATAACTATTACAAAGACTTTTTTTTATGACAGAGTCTCAGTCTGTTGCCCAGGCTGGTGTGCAGTGATGAGATTTGGGCTCACTGCAGCTGCAACCTCCTGAAGCAAGGTCTCATTGTGCTGCCTAGACTGGTCTCAAACTCCTGGGCTCAAGCAGTTCTCCCACTTCAGCCTCCCAAAGTGCTGGGATCACAGGCTTGAGCCACCACACCTGACCACAAGACTTTTTAAAAAGCAGAATTTCTAAAAATGTTGGTAGTAAAGCAAATCACTTCATTTTCAGTATTTTCACAAAGCACTTAAAAATGTCATACTTGGCCAGGTACAGTGGTTCAGCCTGCAATCCCAGCACTTTGGGAGGCCAAGGCGAGAGGACTGCCTGAGCCCCAAAGGTTCAAGACCAGCCTGGGCAACTTGGTGAGACTTTGTCTCTACAATAAATCACAAAAACTAGCAAGGCATGGTGGCGTGCGTCTGTAGTTCCATCTACTTGGAAGGTTGAGACAGAAGGATCGCCTAAGCCCAGCAGGTCGAGGCTATAGCAGCCGTGAGCATGCCACTGCACTCCAGGCTGGACAACAAGGGTGAGATTAAGACTCAAAAAAAAAAAAAAAAGTCATACTTTATTTTAAAATATCATTTTGCTAGATGCTTAATTAGGAATAGATGCTTAATTAGGAATTCTCATCTATCACACTCAGTGATCTATCACAGAAACAAAGAACAGAGTACCACATGTTCTCACTCATAAGTGGACCCTGAACGTTTACCATAATACTTTAAGAAAGGGATTGGCAATAGCAGGATACTGCCAAGGTGGGAGGGAGAGAAGGATGACACAACATCATTAAGGGTTCCTGATCTCAAACCAGGCAAAGTGGGGACCAAAGGGAGGCCCAAACTTTACCTGTACGATGACCACTTATATATCTAATCCTGAATTGTACCCCACATCTTTAAAATAAATTTTTTAAAAAAGGAATTCTTAATTTACCTCTTCAGGAACACCATTCTGTCTTCTTAGTTCCATATCCTTTTGTTTAATGTCTTTTTCCCAGTTTTCTAAATCCCTCATAAAGTCTTGTAATTCTTCTGCATTTTGTTTTACTTGTAGTTGTAATTCCACTGCTTTGTTTGCTGAAGTCATTATGACCTGAGGAGTTGTGAACAACCAACTTCTGATAAGAATTAAACAGGATTATTTGGTTTAATTTTCCAGAACCTAACTAATTAATAATTTGTCGCTATTTCATATATGGCCACAATACAAGGACAGAAGACAGCTGAAAAAAGTGATGCTGAATAAAGAAAAATCAATGAAATATTTTTTGGTGAGTCCATCATTTGCTGAATAAACAAATACAAGATAAGCTGACAAGTTTGGGCAACCTCAAAATGCAACATGAATGAAAGGCAATGGGAAGAAAAATCACTGAAACTAGCAAGTAGTTTATAGTAACAGACATCTTATTTCTAGAATTTATAACTATATTCCAATTACCTCTTTGTTCCTTTTTCTTCCACATTTACTGAACTTCTACTATGTGAAAGGCCCTGTATCAAGATTTAGGAATGCAAAAACAAATAAGACATGGTCCTTTGTCTAGTGGAGAAGAAAAACAAACTAATCAAAGTACTGAATAACAAAATATTAAGTGAGAATTCTCTACCCTGGGACTACTATTTTTTTGAGCTAAAAAAATTCTTCATTGTAAAAAATCATTTGCTGTTCTGTGTGTTACAGGGTGGTTAGTAACATTTCTGTCGTCTACTGACTAGATGTCAATATTATTCCTTCTCTCTTGTATTATGACAACCAAAAATGCTTCCAGACACTGCCAAATGTCCCCTGGGAGGCAAAATAGCCTCTGGTTGAGAAGCCTGTGCTAGGGGTATGTACACAGCTATGAACTGACCACAAATGGTAAGCATAAATCAGATGGTAGGGTGGAGGAGTCAAGGAGTCCTTGAAGTGTTGGAAGCTTTACATGAGTTTCAAAAGAGGCCAGTCAAGTAATTAACAGAGAGTAGTGAGTAGAATGAGGGACTATGAAAGGATATGAAGAAAGAAAAGGTTAGAGGTTAGACAGATCTTGAAACGCCAGGCCATGAGATCTGACCTATATTCTGAAAGCTGTGTGAAGGTATCAATGTAGTAAAATAAAAAGGATTTGATGACTGGTTAGATTAAGGAGTTGAAGAGCAGAGAAAGACTCAAATAGTAGCCTAGATTTGTGGCTTGAGAGCCTGGTAAGATTAATGACACCATTTCTGAGTTAAGAAACACAATTAAACAAACAAAAAAGGTTTCAGAGTTGCAGGGCAAATGGAAAATTAGACTATTTCAGTTTGGGATATGTTGAATTTGAATGTTTATGGAATGTCAGGAGAGGGGGTAGCCAGCAGGTAATTATATAGTACTTGAGATTAATTTGAGAGTCACCAGCATAAAGGTGGAAGCCAGAATCATGGATTTGGCCAAGTTTAACCATTCTCATATTGAGAGAAGGAGGGGAACCTGGAGAACACTAACATTTGGGGAAGCAACAGAGGAAGAAATGGCAATATAGGAAAAATTAGCCAATTCTAGACAAATAGGAGGAAAACCCAGAGTGTACTGTCACAGAAGATCAGAAAAAATAAGCTTAAGAAAGTGAGAGAGGTTAGTGATGCCAAATACCACTGAGGGAAAGGCTATACACAAGGAAGGAAAAAGGCTGACTCTGGTGGCTCACATCCGTATTCCAGCATGGTAATTCCAGCACATTGGGAGGCCAAGGCAGGATTGCTTGAGCCCAGAAGTTTGAGACCAGCCTGAGCAACACAGTGATTCCTTTCTTTTTTTATTTTGAGTTGGAGTCGTTTCTATTTAAAAAAAAAAAATCTTGAGCGTATTAATGGGACAAAAATGTGTGGAAATGAAATGCTCTAAGTAAATGAGACTATATGAGAACAGAGTAAATTAGCCTTTAATAATGTAAAAATTGTTCTTAAGTATAGTAGGGGGGAAGAGGAAGAAAGAAAAGATACATGGCCGGGCACCACGGCTCACACCTATAATCCCAGCACTTTGGGAGGCCGAGGTGAGAGGATTGCCTGAGCCTACAGGTTCGAGACCAGCCTGGGCAACATGGCGAGACCTCTCTACAATAAATAAAATTTTTTAAATGGCCAGGTTCGGTGGCTCAGCCTGTAATCCCAGCAATTTGGGAGGCCGAGGCAAGTGGATTGCCTGAGCCTGCGGGTTCAACATCAGCCTGGGCAACTTGGCAAGACCTCATCTCTACAATAAATCAAAAATTAACTGCGCATGGTAGCACACACCTGTAGTTCCGGCTACTTGGAAGGCTGAGATGGAAGGATGGCCGGAACCCAGCAGGTCTAGGCTGCGGTGGCCAGGAACATGCCACTGCACTCCAGTCTGGGTGACAGAGTGAGACTCCAACTCAAAAAAAAAAAAAAATTAGCTGAGTATGGTGGCACGTGCCTGCAGTTCCGGCTGCTTGGAAGGCTGAGGTGGAAGGATCAACTAAGTCCAGTAGGTCGAGGCTGCAATGGCTGTGAGCGTGCCAGTGCACTCCAGCCTGGGCAACAGAGACTCCGACTCAAAAAAAAAAAGAAAGAAAGAAAAACAAAAAAGAGGCCAGGCTCGGTGGCTCAGCCTGCAATCCCAGCACTTTGGGAGGCCGAGGTGAGCGGAGTGCCTGAGCCGCGGGTTCGAGACCCGCCTGGGCAACTTAGTGAGACCTCATCTCTACAATAAATCAAAAATTAGCCGGGCGTGGTAGCGCGCACCTGTAGTTCCAGCTACTTGGCAGGCTGAAGCGGAAGGATCGCCGGAGCCCAGCAGGTCGAGGCTGCGGTGGCCGGGAGCGGCCATTGCACTCCAGTCTGGGTGACAGAGTGAGACTTCAACTCAAAAAAAAAAAAGAAAAGATACAGTAAAGAGGATGAGTGGTGGGGCAAAGTCTCCAAAAAAGTGGGAGGAGAGTCAACACCAGAGAGGAAGGGGAGGAAAGTAAGAAGGGAGGGAGAGAGAGGAATTAGAAAAGGGATTGGTTTAGAACAGTTAGAATTATCTCACTAAGGAAAAAGGAAGAGCTAGACAGTTGCCGACGCAGCTAGGTCTTCTAACCCCCTAGCCACTACACTTAAACTAAGTTGAAGCTCCTTGAGCAGGGCCCATGTTTGATCTTATGTGTACACCTCACACAAAAACAAAACTAGTACAATGCTTTGCTGAGGACTCAAAAATATAAATAAAAGCGCAGCAAGCCAGTGAGATGCTGTCGGGTTAGAAGCTTTTCCATCTCACCCATCCTCTTTGCGGTTCTCTCAGGCCCAGCTGCTTCCACGGAACCTACAAAGAGGCTGGGGTTCGGACAGGCAACCAGAAACTTCCAGTGCTCAGGGTGCCACTTTCATACCCAATATCCGGGCGCACAGTGCACACCCACGCCGAAAGGGGACGGGTCCCACCGCGGTCCTCCCGTGAAGTTCTGCTGTCCCGACCACCGCAAAATCGCCCGATGCCCCGGACGACGGTGGTGCCGTCAGCAAAGCGGAACGTTCAGGCCCCGGAGGCGAGTGGTGCGGGGTGAACCCCCTTCGGGAACGCGCTGCCCGGACGCCGCTACCTGGACACAGGGGCGCAGCCCCAACGCCGCGCATCCGCCGCCAGCCCTAGCCTGCTCCGCCTCACCGGTACCCACCGCCGCTCCCCCTCCTCTCGCTAGGCAACCCCAAAGGTCTCCTCTGTTACTCCAGCCGACGACCGTAGTGCCCGCTCACCTGATTAGGCCGTTACCAAGCTTACCACCGCTTCACCAGCCCCGCAGCTACTCACGCCGGCCCCGCCTTTCTGCGTTTTCCCACAAGTCCACGCGTGTCCTCGCCCCGCCCCCTGGAGCTGGTTCGAGCATGCGCAGAAGGTAAGGTTCGTGACCCTCGCTTCTCAGAATAGACCCAGACTGGTAGATTGGGAGGGCGTCAAGGCAACGTCTGAGCTTTTTGCCTGCCTCCAATATGAAGAAGCTTCACATGCGATAATCCAAAATCTGCAAGGTCTTCCTGACTTTCTCATTCTCAAACAATAAAACCTTGAATATTGACCGAGCGCGATGCCTCACTCCTATAATCCCAGCACTTTGGGAGATCGAGGTGAGAGGATTGCCTGAGCTCACGGGTTTGAGACCAGCCTGGGCAACTTGGCGAGACCTCATCTCTACAATAAATCAAAATATTAGCCGGGCTTGGTAGCTCGTGCCTGTTGTTCCAGCTACTTGGAAGGCGGAGGTGGAAGGATCGCCTGAGCCCAGCAGGTCGAGAATGTGGTAGTGCATTCCAGCCTGGGTGACAGAGTGAGACTCCAACTCAAAAAAAAACTTGAATATTTCCTTGGATTCCCCTCAATTCTATTCCTAACATTTATCTTGCTGTTGTCTAATGGTATGTCATAACCTTTGTGAGTATGAAATCGTTTGAGAAAGTTACTGTTTTTCCACTATGAATAGACTAATGTAAACTGGTAACCTTGGCAATTTTAGGAGAATTTTTTTCCCTTTAAGTACTTTCTTTTGGCAAACCGGTCCTTCAGTCTGACTCCCTTGCACTTTCTGCAGGAAAACTCTTTCCTTATTAAGTGTATCTATCTCTGAGTCATTTTTTGACATGTACCAGTATTAAGGTCTGTCTTCAGATATGCTTTAGAGTACAGAGAAGAACGAACATCAAGTTTTTGACACTTTTTCCTTCTGCTTCCTGGGTAAGTGAGCCTTCTTTCACTGCGATGACAACACTAAAATTATAAAACAAAACAAAAATAATTTTGGAAGTCCACAAAAACAAACACTAACAAATGAAACTTTCTATTTGAAACAACTCTATGATCTCAAACATTTTTCCCCAAAATCCAGATTGGTAATTCTCAAACTTGCTTGAACTTTGAAATCACTTAGGAAGTATGTATGTATGTATGTATGTATGTATATGTGTATATATACATATATATGTTTCTATCAGTATATAGTATATGCTGATTTCTGGGTCCTTTCGAAGAGATTAGCCTGGGGTGCAGCTTGAGCATCAGATTTTTTTTTTCTGGCCGTCTGCACATGGTCTTTAATCCTCATGTTTCTCTGACCCAACTGGGGGTTTTGGAGATTTAGCCTGGGGTTTGTTTTTATTTGGCCAATCCCCTTCAGTCCTAGGTTCAACTGGAAGAGAAGGTGTCTTTTTTAAAATCCTCCAACCAGTCCCCAAAGATGGAACCCACGGAGCCCAGCAGGATGTTGGATGATGTGGAGAGTCTGGCTGCGCCCACTGACTACAGAGAAGCCACCAGATTGTCCCCAGCAATTCCGCCCCCGTTGGCAATAGCCGCTGCAGACATCATCTTGCCTGCCACAGAGGAGGCAGCAGTTCCTGCCCACAGTGAAGCCCAGGGTACCGAGCACCATGGGCACAGCCCCCAACGCCAGAGCTCTTCCGACTGCAGCAGCAGCTGCCTGTTCTAGAGAGTGAGAGAGACAGAGAACAGACAGAGGGAGGGGGGAGAGAGAGAGAGAGAGGGAGAGAATGAGAATGAGAATGAAAGAGAGTCGAGCATCAGAATTTTTTAAAGAGTAGGATACAACTGGGCAGTTGAGACTGGGAACCGCTAACCTAGGTATTGACCAATGAAAAACTACTGTGAGGCACTCCCCTACAAGGTCATATCATCAGCACATCTTTTTTTTTTAATTTTTAATTTTAAAGATGTGGGGTACAATTCAGGGTTAGGTATACAAATGTTCATTATGCAGGTACCCTTGTTGATGATGCATGACCCACTCCTGCCCCTACCCTACCCTGACAGTTTCCCACTACTGCCAATCCCTTTCTTATAGTATTACGATAGTTGTTCAAGTTCCGCTCATGAGTGAGAACATGTGATACTTGGTTCTTTGTTTCTGTGATAAATCACTCAATTATAGCCTCTAAGTCCATCCAAGTTGCCGCGAAATTCATAATTTTGTCCTTCTTTATGGCTGCATAATATTCCATCATGTATATGTGCCACTTTTTTTTAGACTCTTTTTTATGTTGCCTTCACTGTCTACAGAATCTAGGCATTCTACCACTTTTTTTTTATCCAGTCCTCTTTCAATGGGCAGCATGGTTGGCTCCATGTTTTCACTATTTTTTTTTTTTAATTGGAGTCTCACTGTGTCACCCAGACTGGAATGCAGTGGCCGCTCCCGGCCACCGCAGCCTTGACCTGCTGGGCTCCAGCAATCCTTCCACCTCAGCCTTCCAAGTAACTGGAACTACAGGCGTGTGCTACCACACCCAGCTAATTTTTTATTTATTGTAGAGATGAGGTCTCGCCAAGTTGCCCAGGCGGGTCTCAAACCCGTGGGCTCCGGAAATCCACTCACCTCAGCCTCCCAGTGCGCTGGGATTACAGGCTGAGCCATCGAGCCTGGCTGTTTTCGCTATTGTAAATAATGTCATCAGCACATCTCTCCCATTGTTTTTTATTGGTATGTTTGTATTTTAAAGTTATAATAGTCAAATGATTAAGTGCATAGTCAAAATATTTACCAAGGAAATGGATTTTTTGGTTGTGTTAGGAAGATAGATAACTGACTTTTAAGAGTTCTTATGATTTTTGAATTAATAAACAATTTTTAAATGAATATTAATTTATTGATGTCCTTAACAAAAGCAACCACATTTATTTTATTAATTCTGGTAGAGTTGATTTAGACAAGAGATGAGGGAACCAGCTGACTGCCCTAGTAAAACCTCAAAGACCCTTAGGTAAATTCTCTCTCTCTCCTTTCCTCTCAAGCTATGTAATGAAGTTACCTAGTGAATATAGAATCAAAGTAAAAAGAGTTAATCAAATAGTCCTGATGGTCATCATTACCTAATTCTGAGGCTCCTGTTGTCCCCAAAAGGCTATGCCTGTAATAGCAGTCTCCTCTCCTTGAGCTCAGACTCAGGTCATCTTAAGTTCTTTTTGGGATTCTATGTAGATCTCCCTATTTCTGCTGACAATTGTCATCAAATGGGTTTAAACAAGACATAAATTGTTTCTCTTATATATCTTTCATTAACTTATACTTATGTGCTCCAATTGAGGCAGGTGATTCAGTGCAGCTTAGACATAGATTGTTAAGTTTCATATGGACAGTTTAAATTAAATAGGGTAAGCCTTCAGACTTCTTTCTTATCAGTACACAACCTCCACCTGACTAACTAGGCACAACAGACCTAACCACCTTGCGGGCTGGAATGTAGATCTACCAATGTAGGAAATCACAGAAATAATAGAGAATTATCCAAAACACAGACATGATGTTCTAAGAAAAGCCCAAATCTAGTTAGGCAATAACTTTAACTATTTAGAAGGTCCTTGTGACCTTAGAAGGTTGAAAGATGGTAATCAAAACTTGTGATCAGACACCTGTAACTCACCTTCTTAGCTCATGGAAGATGGGGAGATGGTAATCAAAACTCATGACCAGATACCTGCAGCCCCACAGTTCTTAGCTCATGGTTTGCTTCATTGTGGTTTTAAAAGTACATAAAGCTTCTTGTCAAAGGCAAGCACGTGGCCTTTCTCTTAAGGCACCCATGCCCATTGGGCATGTCTCTAATAAACTCTGTCTTAAACCATACTTAGGACTCGTTCTGAAATGATTTTCTGTAGCAAAGTCAAGGAACACATGGAGCAACACACACACCTCACCCAGCATCACATTCTTCTCAATTTAACTTATTGTTAATATCTGAATAGTCGTGTTCAAAGAGACAACCTCTTTATATGTTTTATATGTTGAAATTCTAATGGTCAGTGGAAATAAACATGAATGTTTATTATTGTAACAATACAGTTCATGATTGTGAATTCTGTTAATTTTATGTCTGAAACAATTCTTGGGATTTTCAAATAATTAAATAAAGAAAAATTCTTACAGTTAACATAAATTTTAAGAAACAGAATATTAGCTAAATAACTTTAGGAAGAAAAATTTATGAATCCTGGGGCTTCCTGTAACAGAGATACTATATTAGGTTTGATTGCGTGTGAAAGAGATCACAGCTTCCTGTAACAGAGATACTATATTAGGTTTGATTGCGTGTGACAGAGATCACAAAATAAGAGTAGCTTAAACATGAGAGAACACTATTTCTCTCTCATATAAGATTGAATATAAGCAATCCAGAACTAGTATGACAATCCCAGTGTCAGTCCCCGACTCCTTCTACCTGCTGTTCTATCATCTTCAGCATGTGGCTTTCATTCATGGTTCAAGATGGTTGTTTAAGCTTCAATGATCTTGTCTGAAATCTTGTCAACAAGAAGGGACAGTAGTAGAAATAATGGTACCCCCCATTATTCTTGAAGAATACTTCCTCTCACATGCCATTGGCCAGGATTTAGACACATGGCCACTTCTGGTAGCAAGGGGGGTTAAAAGTTTTTACTCTTGGCAGTCATGTGCATATCTAAATATTGGAAGTTCAGTGAATAAGGACGAAGAGGAGGAGAGCACATAATGAGGGGCAACCAGCAGCTTCTATCTTAATAAGTATTCTTTAAAAGAATAACAAGGCCAGGTGCCATGGCTCCCACCTATAATCCCAGCACTTTGGGAGGCCGAGGTGAGAGGATTGCCTGAGTCCACGGATTCAGAATCAGCCTGGGCAATTCGGCGAGACCTCATTCATCTCTATGATAAATCAAAAATTCAGCCAGGTGTGGTGGCTCATGCCTGTAGTTCCAGCTACTTAGAAGGCTGAAGCAGAAGCATCAGCTGAGCCCAGCAGGTCTAGGGCTGCGGTGGCCATGAGCGTGCCACTGCACTCCAGCCTGGGCAACAGAGACTCCAACTCAAAAAATAAAAATAAAGAATAACAAATGAGTAGTAAATGAGCGGATACCACTAGAAATCCAGGCTCACTACAACCTGAAAGAAAAGGGTTGAATTTTGCAAGACTTGATTCTGCTGCTTACGAAGAATGTGACTCAATCTGAACCTCAGTTGTCTAGGTAAAATTAAAGTGATGAAGATAGGCTGGGTACGGTGGCTCAGCCTGTAATCCCAGCACTTTGGGAGGCCGAGGCGAGAGGATTGCCTGAGCACTTTGAGAGGCTGAGGCGAGAAGATTGCACTAGCCAGGCATGGTGGTGTGCATCTGTAGTTCCAGCTACTTGGATGGCTGAGGTGAAGGATCACTCGAACCCAGTAGGTCTAGGCTGTGGTGGCTGTGAGCGTGCCACTGCACTCCAGTCTGGGTGACAAGAATAAGAGTTCAACTCAAAATAAAAATAAAATAAAGTGGTGAAATAAAAATATCTACCAGACGGGGAAAATACATATAAAAGGACTCCTTAGCATAGCTTGGAACAAGGTAAGAGCTTAAGAAATGTTAGCTCCTACCCCTTGCTCCTGCAAAGCTAAGGTCCAAACCTTGGAATGAGGTGACTCTCCTATATTTTTATCTTTCTGTCTCCTATTTGACCACCTGGAAGACCTCTGAAGAGGTCTGTAAAGGGCAGAAGTACAGGGCATCAGTAGATGAAGGTTAAGGCTGACAACAGGGATGGTAAATTGCCTCTCCTAGTGCAAAATGAAAGCTATATAGTAAGTGAGACAAATTATTATAAGAACGGCTAACATGTTATTTTACATTCCTTATCTCACAACAGTGGTAATGTTATCCTCATTTGATTGGCAAGGAAACCAATCTGAGTGACTAAGAAATTTGACCATACAGTTAGCAAGTGACGGAGCCTGGCTAGGTATCTAGGCAACCTGACTTCAGAGCCTGTACCTGTGACTACTGTACTCTACTCACTCTCTGTCTTGCTTGTTTGACTATGAACACCCCAGGGAAGGGCAGAACAAGGCCCTGTTTTATCTGTCTACAGTCTGTAACTTGCCTGCGATGTCTCTTCATACCTGCCACATTTTCTAGCATGGGTGGCTTAAATAATCTGTTTACAGGTGAGAAGTCTCTTTGTGTATCTGTTAATTTGGTCAACCTCTGCAACCATGGGGGCTGCATCCAAAGGTGTCATTATTCTCATGTGTATGTGACACAGGGGACTGGTGATTGGGGATGGGGCCACCAGTCCCCATTTGCCTCCCTCCTTACAATCTGTGTGCAGTGCTCCTTCCACTCTTCATATTACAGATGTATCAGGAGAATTATCTTCCCCTCTTGGCTAGAAAGACTTGGTGAGTCATCAGGGACTTCACCCAGATACCACATTCTCCAAGCCATTTTGAAAAGACACTAAAGCAGAAGTAGCATCTCTAGCCTTGCTCTAAGAAAAAGGTAGAGAGACAGTTGGGGGAGGGAGGAGCATATACAAAAAAGAGATAGACACAGTTCAAGTTTTCTTAAATGACTTTAATTGGAAACTCAAACCCTCTAAACCATCGATCATGCCTGGCTCTGTGGGGCAACATCTAGTTCCCAGTGGGTTCCAGGGAGAAATGCATAACTGAGGTTAAGATAAGGAGCCCCAGTCTCCCTGATCTTCTCTTCTAGAGTTATTCAATGGCTGCTGGGCAAGCCTTAAAATAATTGTGTCAATGTCACCAATGGGTTCCTTCTTCTGATGCTAAATCTTCCTCTTTTGAGAGCAACTCTTTCAAAAAAACAATTTAGGATCAGAATATAAGTCTGTAACCATACTAAACATCCACAAGTGGGAAACTTCTTGACCAGATACTGAGCTGGCTGCAAAAAACACTCAGACCCGGAGAAGGTCACTCCACCCAGCCCACTCACTGCACCAATCCATTACCCTCCTCCATCCAGCATCAGAATTCTTCCAGACACTGATAGAGTTAGAGAATCTAGCTCTAGAAAAGACCAACAGCCCAGTGCTTGATTTCTGTGGTCTGATTTATTTGAGGACCCCAACACAGGGCTGAATTGCAGTCTGCATAACTGTGTACAATAACAGCTATTAAAGTAATCTTGAATTCTATCAGCGGTTCTTCCTAAGAACAACTGAAAGCACCTTCACAGTAATTATATCATCAGGTTTGCCTTCTCACCAACTCCACAAGAAGGAAAGAGGGCAGACCCTTCCCTTTACATTGAAGGGAAGCATGAGGTCGGAAGATTTGCCTCTGGTTTCCCCACACATCAGGGCAAAAAGCTATCAAGGGCTCCCACTTTCTCTGCCTTGACTCTGTTTCCTAGCTTATGGTGCCAAAATGCTGTAAGACAAAGATTTGACTGTATCTCTGCATTTTTCTAATTTGTATGTTTTCTCTCTTTCCTGTGTAGGCATTTTGGGATTTGGGGATCTCTCCTAGTCTCCCTCCCCTCTTCAGTCCAGAACAGATAACACCTCAGTCTTGCAAAAGCCCTTTCTGCCCTCATGCTCCTTTCTGGTTCAAAGTTCTATTGGGTGGAAGACACTATGTAGGCTGTGGCGATGTACTTCTTGCCATTTCCATAGGTGGACTTATCCCAGGTATAGGTCTGAATGGCCAGAGGATATCCACCCAGGCTTAACTGGCACCTGTGGGGAAAGATCACAAAATCAGGTGGGCTCACCACATCAGCCTGCCTCTGTCCTCAGACTGGAAAAATCAAGTCCAACCCAGGAAGAAGGGCACCAACCTGTTCAAACAGCCTCGAAGATAGAGCGCCATTGCTTTCTTCAGCTGTTCCTCATCTTTCCCAGAGCAATACTCTAAAGTCCCTAAAATCCCACATTCTAGAACTGAAATCCTCAAAAGCTAAATGTTTGCTTAGGGTTTCAGATATAGTAATACCCAAAGTCTCCAAATGCTGGAGAACATGAGGCACAGTGATTTCAAACTCTTATGGGCTCCAGGGTTCCTCTACTGACCTAGTCTAGCAGTTGTTCAAGCAAGGAAACTGAGGCCCAGAAAAGTGGTTTGTCCAAGCCCTCTCAGCCACACAGTGGCAGAATCCAGGTCTCCCTGCTCTGTCCTGGCTGAGGACAGCCTGAGACCCCAGCCTGTCCCGCAGGCCTGGTTGGCCCTGTACTTACACTTTGCCCGGCCTGGCGACAAAGCACAGGGAGTAGAGCGCAAACTCGAACTCAGGGCTGCTGCCAATGAACGCTGAGCCCACTTCCTTATAGTAGCCGTCCCAGTTGAACTGCATGGCCAGCACATCAGGGTAAGACTCCCACTGCAGAGAACAGGGCAGCAAAGGGGGTCTGTGAACAGCCACTGTTTGCTGGGGGTCCATTAGGGACCTATGTGAACCTTCTGGGGAGACTGGATTCTTTAGATAGACAGAGGGACAGTCTGCTAAGGTGTCTGAGTCAACTCAGATGCCTCATCTGGAGCTGCCAGTACACATCTGCCAGGGAGGCCAGAGTCAGCATCCATATGGCTGATCCCAGGGTGGCAGGGACATAACTGATCCCTGTGGCCCCTACACATGGAAGAGAAGGACAGTTTATTGCCCCCAATTATATCCTGGCACCGTGTAGCAAAGATTTCTGTCTTATAAAAAGTATGAAGTTTGGCCGGGCTCGGTGGCTCAGCCTGTAATCCCAGTGCTTTGGGAGGTCTAGGTGAGTGGATTGCCTGAGCCCATGGGTTCGAGACCCACCCGGGCAACTCAGCGAGACCTCGTCTCTACAATAAATCAAAAATTAGCTGGGCATGGTAGCACATGCCTGTAGTTATGGCTACTTGGAAGGCTGAGGCGGAAGGATCGCCAGAGCCCAGCAGGTTGAGGCTGCGGTGGCCAGGAGCGTGCCACTACACTCCAGTCTGGGTGGCCGAGTGAGAGTTCAACTCAGAAAAAAAAAAGTATGAAGTTTGACTCAGACTAACCAGAAACTTCCAGCCATGTTCTAAGGACATTCAGGCAGAGCCAATTGCATGTCTTTGGTTCTCTCCTCTGAGAATGCTCCCCAGGTCCTGGCCTCCCACCCAGATACTCTACAGCCTGTCCCCTGCAGTTCTGCAACCTTCACAGTTTGGAAGGGAATCCTAGTGTCCTAGATGGCTAAACCCACTCTCCAGCAAGTGAGAACATCATGGTCATAGTCCCCCCAGGCTGCCTGTGAGAGTCAGGGTGAGACACAACTCTGACTGTTTGGAATGCAAAGTGAGAGCAGGGTATGTGGGTGCTGGCAAGGCTTAACCAGCCAGGTACTCACAGGCCCATCATAGATGTAACTGTAATAGTCCACCAGGCCCTCCTTCTCCTGCAGGTAGAAGCGGATCCAGTTATGGAAGCCAGTGACCTTGCCTTTTTTGACCTCACCTATAATGAAAAGTCCAAGGTGGGTGATCTGGGCTCCTTTCCAATCCCCTTTCTCCATCACATGCCAATCTCTATCTCCCTTGTCCAGCCCATGACTTCTAGAATGTCCATCTGCTCAGCCCCTTGCCCCAACCCCCAGGGTCCCTCACATCCCTATCTCTCAACTCAGGAAGGCTCCCCTTTTGGCGTAAGCCCATGAGGGAATTCCTCCTCCTGACTAACTCTGATGACCACTCTCAGCCATTTCTCCAGCAGCAAGCCAGGCTTGGTGGTAGCTTTATGGGTGGGATGGAGGGAAAAGGCCATAGTCCTCTGAGGAAGAGGCTGGCCAAACCCTGGAAGCAGAGAACTGTTCGGATACTTTGCCCCCCAACACATGTCCCATCCTAGGTGTACTTCCCTCGGGAGCCCCGGTATCTGGTTTTCTTTCCCCCTGAGATACTTCAGAAGTGACTGTTTCTCAAAATGGCACCTCAGACTCCTCCACCTGGGCTTGGAAGTGCACATGTCTCTCCCTGCTGTCTGGCTTGGCTGCCTATTCATCCAGTCCCAGAGCTTCTCTACTCCTGAGCAAAGCCTCTCCCCTTTATCCCTCCAACTCTTTCTTCCCAAGAAGTGTGACCCCACCTGAGAAGACGTGTTCAAAGCCACTGGAGTCCCCCTCTTCATTTCCTCTTGAATACAACCCAAACCACATGTTCTTCAAGTCATCAACAAACTCTTGTTCTGAGGCATAGCGGTCTGCAGAGAGAAACACAGAGGGCTTTAGAGTGGGGAGCCAGGGCCAGCTCCTGGGGGCACTAATCAGAAACCTGAAGGGCAGGTTGCTGTAGCACATCCAGAAACACATGGGTTCAGTCAACAAACGTGTTTACTTTTTCATTCAACAATTATCTATGGGGCATCTATTTTGTGCCAGGACCAGATCTAGGATCGAGCAGAGAATAACAGAGACACAGTCTGTATGTTTCTAGCTTATATTTCAATGGAAGAGACAAGTAATAAACAAGTAAACAATAAGTAATATGATTTCAGATAAGTGCTGTGAGGCAGAGTAGCCCCTGGTGACTGAAAAGGGGATATGGGTTGGGGCCCTTCTAGAAAGGAAGATTGGAAAGGCCTCTCTGAAAAGGCAGCACTAATCAGAGACCTGAACGACAATGGACTGGCCATGCAAAGCTCTGGGGGCACAACCCTTCTGTGTAGACGGAACTGCAAGCTCAAAGGCCCCAGGCAGACTTGAGTTTGATATTCGAAGAACCAAAAGAAAGTCAGTGTGGCTAGGACACAGGGAGCAGCAGGGAAGGGCGGCAGCCCAGTAAGTCGATACTAGGGTGGCCATGAGCATGGCACTGTACTCCAGTCTGGGCAACGGAGTGAGACTTCAACTCAAAAAAAAAAAAAAAGTCAGTGGAGTAGTACGAGTGGAAGCAGAGAGACTGGTTTCAAGGCTAATGACCCATCCAGGTAAGAAGTTGATGCAGCGGGCAACCCCTTTGGGTCCCTTCCCACTGAGGTAGCTTTTCTGTCCTCTAAACAAATCCTGCTTTCAAAAAAAAGGAAGAAGAAGTTGATGAGGCTTAGACAATAGTGGTAGCTGCAGAGGAGAGTGAAGCAGACAGATCCAGGACATATTTTGAAGGTGGGCATAATGGATGTAACTGATTAAAGAGACAGAGTTGGGAAATGGTGAGGTAAAGAGAAGAATTAAATCTAAGTCCTGGGACTTTGGGCCTCAGATAACTCTGGACTGTTTAGCCTCCATTTCTTTCATTTGAAAAGCCCTTGCTCAGTCTAGACCTCCAAGATTCCCTTGTGTATGTGTTTACAGTACTACAAAGAAAACACCAGAGGGCGATACAGGATTGCGGCTTCATAGACTCACTCCTGTGTTACTGTGTCACTTTACCTAAAAACATCACCAACTCTTAAGGGAGGCGAGTGGGATGCAGCAGCTCTAAGCTGAGCTCGGGGGCAGCAAGGGGAGACCTAGAGAGAGCCACCCTGAGACAAAGCCCAGTTGCCTGGAGTTTGGGAAAGGAATCATGAGGACACTGACAAACACAATGCCATGCCAAGAAGTCCTGCGGCCAAAATCTTTTTTGTTCTGATCCTAGTGTATCTGTATCTGGAGGCATTCCAATCAGAACTCCTCCCAGTAGGACTTCCCCTTCTGAACCTTTGTTGATTTCCTGATGCTGTTTCCCCAGCAAAAATGTGGAGTCGGCCAGCCTGCTTCCTGGACTTAGTGCAGGAGGAAGAAGTCGAGTCACGGACTCTACCTGTCTGAAGTGTGGTGCTGACTGTGGGATCCACTAAGGTGGCTGAGAGGCACCCTGGGGTGGGGGTGGGATGTGAGCCCTAGACTTTAGCATAGAGTGGGGATACATGAGACCTCCAACATTAGGTCAAGGTGGGGGTGATTTCCAAGCCAGACAGAGGATTCTTCAGCTTCTGATTGGGTTCCTAATGTCTTCTTGGCCCTGGCCTCATCTCTGATTCCTCCCTGACCCACCACTGACCACATAGTTCCCACTGCCTCCTCCCCTGGCCTCTGAGCCTTCCCGCTGTGGAGACCCAGAGGTGCCTGACTCTTCCACAGACAGATTTATGTCCTCAGCACTACCCCATGAGGCCTGGGGATGGTTCACTCACTCTGGTGATGGAGAAAGCTGTAAAGTTCCTTCATGACTGCTGTCTTCATGACCTCTCTGAGGAAGGTGTCCTGCTCAGCCAGCTGCTGGGCACTGAAATGCTCCCCATGGCCTGTTGCCCGTTGGTAGTTGTTGAGGAGATTGATGAAGGCTTTGTAAGTGGACTTGGAGAACAGCTTCTCATTGACAAAGGTGAACAGTCTGGGGCAGGCAAAGGCAACCCACTGAGAGACATAAACGTGAACAGAGACCCCTCCAGAGGCTTCTAGGTAAGACAGGAGCAGGCATGCGCGCACTGTGTTCAGGAGTTCAGGGGGTACTTCAGATACTCTTGAAGGCTACACATGAGGTCACTTTTCTTCCACCTCATCTTTTGGAAGATCCTCTCCTCAGACTGACCAGTTGCAGAAACCCTCCCAACTAGATACCCACAGTCCCTCAAGATGGCTTTATCTGTCTCTGGAGACCTGTTTTTTTCTCTCTCTCCTTTTGATCCTGCCTGACTTGAGGAGAAAAGAGGTGAGGCAACAAAAGAAGCAAGGATGAGTGAGAGACTTCAGGGCAGTAGGAAGAGAAATGAGGGGAACTCACGGCTCTGGGCAACGGTCCACTTGGTCTCTGGTGTCCGAGGGAGAGATGCACTTTTGACTGTTGAGAATGATGTCTTCCTTCTGGGCTTTGTTGGTGTCTGCCCTGTAGATCTTCTCTGAGATGCTCTGAAGCTCCTCTTTGTTTATGGCATCCCGGCTGTGGGAGAAGCCCTCTGGGAGGAATTGGGGGGAGGGGTGGGGCTCAGCGCCAGAGTGAATGCAAGGGAAGGAAATTGTCTGTGTGCATCCCTTCCTGGCACCTTCCAGAAGCCAGCAACAAGGGAGAAGGGCCACAGTCAGACACTCTAGTGGTTGGAGGGCAGAGCCCAGAACCCAAAGGACCTTAAAATCAGCACATGGTGTTACCCATTGGATGTCCACAAAATGGCCCCCTCTAGGAGGGGTCTCACACTTGGGTGTTCATCAGAACCACCTGGAGGGCTTGCTGAAACAGAGTGGTCAGTGTCACTCACAAGGTTACTGATTCAGGAGGCCCGGAGTGAAACCCTAGAGTTTGCATTTCTACCAAGTTCTCAGATGATGCTCTGTTACTGGTCGAGGGACCACACTTTGAGAACCACTGCTCTGGAGTCCTGTGTCTCTGGGGCTATGCCAAGAGAGCAGAAGAAGACTAACCATGGTTGCCACACAGGTTCTCGAAATCCTTGCAGCAGTTCCCAAACTCTTGGCAGCGGGCATTGCAGTGGCATGGGTGGTGCTTGTCAAAGGCTTCCCTGCAGCGCCCCTGGCAGGAGGTGGGTGCCGAGTACAAGTCTGAGAAGAGAGGAGAGGTGTGTCCCAGGTCGACCTCTAGAGGTCACTCTGAACGCTCCGCAGGCTGTCCCTCCCTCAGCCTGGCTTTCCTGGCTCTTCCTATTAAAGATCTCCAGAGAAGGGAAACAAACAAGCTTAATTCGTGCACACCCTTCGCATTCAGGAAGTCCTTTTTGATGTCGAAGTTTACTTCTGGCATGCTGTTTTTCTAATCTTCCTGTTCTAAAAATAAAATTTCTTCCACTTCCCTTTCAAGTCTGGCCTCTGACTGTCTTTCCTGGCTACCCCTTTCCCCACAGGCTTCTTCCCACCCAGGCCCCCAGAGTCCAGCGAGCCCCTCTTATCTGGCTGAGGCCTGGGCCTGTTGCCACTGCTGTGGCCACCCCCTCCTTGTCACCCTTGTGTCCCTCCTGCTTTATCCCAAAGGATCCCATTTAGGGATGCAGGCTCACTGTTGGCAAGGGCCTCTTCTGTCTCTTCCTCCAGCTCCAGGAATGGATCCGACTCTTTGGGGTTCTCTGCAGGTAGATAGAAAAATAAAGTCACCAACCACCTGAGAATTCCCCTCCTGCCATGTTTCTGGTTCTCAGCTCCCCTAGCCTCAGGGACAAGCAAGTAAATCGAAAGCAAATAATAAACAGGGAATAGGGCCCAATGGACAAGAGCCAAATAAAGGAGATGACAACTGAAAATGGAAGACATTTCCAGTGGAAGACAGATTATTGAAAATTTTTATAAAAAATGAAACTAATTTCTCCAGGTAACCCATCTCCTAACACTTTACCATTCTGGTACCCAGCATGTTCATCTATAAAAAGGGGAGGGGAAGGCAGGACACGGTCCCTTCTGGGTTAAAAACTCTGAAATGAGTTATGACTTTTCAGGCTGGAGTGCAGTGGCACACTCACGGCCACCCCAGCATCACAGCAATCCTTCCATCTCAGCCTTTCAAGTAGCCTGAACTACAGGCACGCACTATCACACCCAGTTAATTTTTTATTTATTGTAGAGATGAGGTCTTGCCAAGCTGCCCAGGCTAGTCTCGAACCCATGGGCTCAGGCAATCCACTCGCCTCGGCCTCCCAAAGTTCTGGGATTACAGGCTGAGCCACCAAGCCTGGTCATGGCTTTTCTTTAACTAAAGTTGACAGATGGATAGAGTCTTGATGTTCTCCAAATGACAGAGCCCTCACTTTGGAAATCCTGTACCCATAATAACTCTTAACCATAGTCAAGGGTGAGTTTCCAGGGCCTCAAAGAATAAGAACCATTTCCTGAGTTCCAACTTCCCTTCTTTCTTGACCCCACTTTGGATGGCCACAGAGAATGTGCCTAAGGAAAAGGCATGTCACTGTGACACCATTCCTGTTGCTGCCCTGTTCCCTTCACCTGCAAGCTAAGTGACTGCTGCCCTAGCAGAGAAGGGTGGGGTGGGGTGGGGAAGAAGAGGAAAGAATGTTCCTGGAGACTCTGAGTTCCTGTCTCATCACACAGCGAAATATTCCCCTCCCCCCCAACAAAAACACTGTTAGAAAGTGATTCAGAACCTGTTCCTGAGTTTGTTGGATAGTATTGTGTTATTACCACTAGAACCACTAGTCAAATTGTTCATTCAGTCAACAAACATCTTCCGATCACTTCCTTTGCACCAGGCTGTGTTCTAAGTGCTGGCAATCCACAAAGTTCTTAATTCAGTCATATTTTATGCCAAATAGACTTTTGTGAGCTGAACTGGAGTCCTAAACATCATTTACAGTACTTTCTTTCTGTGGGAAAGGAGTTCTGAGCTGAAAATCAGAAACTTGGAGATGCAATGGCTACTAAGCTGGGTTTGCCTTTGTCTTGAACACCAGCCTGATGGCCCAAGGTGAACAGACCTTCCTGTGTCTGCTGAATGGTAAGAAAAAGTAGGGACACAAGGCAGTAGCAAAAGGGTAGGCTCTTACTCTGGCCCTGAGATCTAGGCCTGGGCCTCCCTTCCTGGGCATGATCATCAGGACCTCTGCTAATATATAGTGTTTGTGTATGAATTGAAAAGTTTCCATGTGAGTGGAAGCAGCTCTGTGGGCATGTGGCTGGATCAGCAGATGACATCTTTGGGCAGGTTAGGAAAAGGTACTCCTTTCTCTCAGCAGACACAACTCTGCACCAGGGCACATGACATGATGAGAAAGATCTAGGCTGGATATTGGTCCAGCCTGCCTGCTCCACCAGGTGCTCTTGTGCACAACCTATGCAATCATATGCAGTGTCTTGCTGGCCATTACCTAGCATGGCTTCAGTGACCATGTTTTCCAAACTGGGTGTCAGGGCACAGGGCTTAACAGTGAACCCCGTAAGGCTTTGTGTCACAAAGCAGCAGAAGATCATATATCCGAGCATTGACAACACTGGAGACATGTAGACAGAGATTATTCAAAAATGATTTTTAAAAATTATTCATTTAAAACCATACAGTTGGAGTAATGGAGAAACAACTGGCCTTCAAGGGTGGGGCAGGTCCCGTTTTAATCAGTGGGTTGGGAATGGCAGTTTAGAGATGTGGTGGTCACTCAGTCCACTCACCAGAGGGAGAGTGGTATGAATTGTGTCAGTTTCTGTGACACCATGCAGTCTCCTGGTGGCACACAAGCGGCAAGAGTTTGCTTCCATTTTAGTAATTTTGTGATTTAAAGTGTTAAATAACAACTGGTATGTCATATATATAGTAAATTATTATTGGCATCATTTTGCCCTTTTTTGGAATTAGGAGCTTAAACTTTCAAGACATTTTTGGGGTTTTTTTGTTTTTTTTTTTTGAGTTGGAGTCTCACTCGCTTGCCCAGACTAGAGTGCAGTGGCCGCTCCCAGCCACCGCAGCCTCGACCTGCTGGGCTCCGGCGATCCTTCCACCTCAGCCTTCTGAGTAGCCGGAATTACAGGCATGCGCTACCACGCCCGGCTGATTTTTTGATTTATTGTAGAGATGAGGTCTCGCTGCCAAGGCGGGTCTCGAATCCACAGGCTCAGGCAATCCACTCACCTCAGCCTCCCAAAGGCGCGGGGTTACAGGCTGAGCCACCGAGCCCAGCTTCAAGACATTGTTAATCCTGATAGTCCAGGTAGATATTCCAGGTAAATGACATCTACTGTATTTTAAGTTGAGAACATCCTAGAAAACCTGAGACAAGTGTGGCCAAGTCTCTGGTCCCTCCCTCTGTCCCTCAGTGCTTTCATTCTGGACCCTTAGAATTCCTCTCATAAGTCCTGAACCCTGCCCTGGACTGCTGGACACCCAGGCCAACAGCCCCTCAGTAGGCTGGATGTGACATGCCTGGTCTGCTGGGCCTCCAAGACCCTGCATCACACAAGGAGCCTCACCAGTACACAGATGTTCATAGTCTTCACAGCAGTCCCCATGCCGATGACACCGGTGGTCACACTGGCAGGCAGCATCCCGGTTAAATTTTTCATTGCAGCGAGATGCACAAGAATTCATTTTTCCTAAAGGCAGAAACTCAGCTGTAGGGGAACCTCTTCTCCCCCGAAAGGCACCCCCTGCAGTAGGGCTCACAGCCAGGGCAGGGGTGCACCTGGGGAAGAAGGCATTGTCTCTGCAGGAGAGAAGTACTTCCAGAGCCTCCCATGCACAGTGTAAGCATCATCCCTACCACCCACCACCCTCCACCCACCAAGGATTTCAGGGCTCATGATATCAGCTAGGATCACAGTCTCAAATGCCTATTTGGGATAGGACCATAACATAACAAGTAAAGAAGCAGGGTGTGGGGCATTAGGAAGAAATGGGAACTGGGACACACTTTAAAAGCAATACCCTGTCTGCAATTTGCAACCACTACTCAGCTCCAGCTAACTGCTGCCATGTTGGGATGTGGACTCAGTGTTGCCAGAGCCTCCCAGTTTTCAAGAGAAACATTCCATTTTTTTTTTTTAATTAATTTATTTTTTTTTTAGCTGGGGTCTCACTCTGTTGCCCTGACTGGAGTGCAGTGTCATGATCATGGCTCACCACAGCCTCAACCTCCTAGGTTCAGGTGATCCTTCCACATTAGCCTCCCAAGTAGCTGAGACTACAGGCGCACGCCATCACACCTGGCTACTTTTATTGATTGTTTTCATAGAGACAAGGTCTCACTATGTTGTCCAGGCTGATCTCGAACTCCTGGGCTCAAACAATCCTTTCGTCTCAGTCTCCCATAGTGCTGAGATTACAGGTGTGAGCCACTGTGCCCAGACAGAAACCTTCATTTTTATGAGAAACTTTCTAAGATTTTTAAATTTCAAGCAAGCCAAAGAAAGAGGTTTGTGAACTGGGTGTGGCCTGTGGGTCACTCTTCACCTGTCTTGCAGATGAGGGGAGGTCACTGCTGCCCCAAGGATGCCACCTGCCCCCTGCCCTCTGGCTCCTCCCCTGGCTCTCAGCCTGTTCCTTTTATGTTCATTGTTTCTTTGTTCCTCCCTCCCCTTTATCCAGTCTTCTCTGCTTTCTGTTTCTCTTGTGCCACAACTTTCTGTTCCTTCCAGTCTTTGGAATGCATTCGGATATGTTTATGCTCAGGGTGGGGAATGAGGTGGGTGTGGGTGAGAATGGGGCTCTGGCATAGGCTTCTGTTATGCAACCACAGACCACATCCCCCGCTCCAGCCAAATGGTTTGCAGAAGCAAGCTTTGGTCACAAGGGACGTAAGACAAGACTTTTTGAAAGGAAAAATACAAACCCACTATCCACTCTGGGCTTTAAGGGTGATAACAGAGACTTTGTTCCATTTGAGGTCCCTGAGGTTTGGATTTCGCGAACACTGGGTTTAGAGGTCAGGCTGTGGGTTACTGGGGAATGTCAAGATCAGAGTCAGGGTTACCATCAGCATCCGAATTTGTATCAGTGGGGAAAATGAAACCTAATTTGGACCGGGGTTGGGGCTAGTTAGATTAAGAGCTACAGTTAGAATTTGGGCTTGCGTTAAATTTATCAAAGAAGTAACAATTTTGTATTGATATTTGGGTAAGGAATAGGGTTAGACTTGAGTGACATTCAGGGTTGAGGAATGTGTCAAGATTAGAAGAGAAGAAACAATCCCAGTTTTGCCTTAGATTTGGAGCTTGGTTCTGGCTGTGAATTGACAAAGGTACAGTGAAAGCCTGGGTTGAGTTGGAGGTGAATATGAGGGAGGTGGGTTTAGTTACTGGTTTGGATTCTGGAATTAGGGTTTATACAGTGTCTAATGAGAGATGGCAGGGCAGAGAGGTTAAGAACCTAGAGTCTGGCCAGGCGCAGTGGTTCATGCCTGTAATCCCAGCACTTTGGGAAATGGAGGCAAGAGGATTGAGCCCAGAAGTTCCAGACCAGCCTGGGCAACTTGGTGAGACCTCATCTCTACAATAAGTCAAAAAATTAGCCAGGCATGTGGTTCCAGCTTCTTGGAAGACTAAGGCAGAAGGATCGACTGAGCCCAGCAGGTCGAGGCTGCAGTGGCCATGAGCATGCCACTATACTCTAGCCTGGGTGACAGAGTGAAGAGTGAGACTCTAACTCAAAAAAAAAAAAAGAAAAGAAAAGAAACTAGACTCTGGCACCAAACAGCCTGGGGTTGGAATTCTGGTTCCACCGCTTTCTAGCTATGTGATCGTGGGCAAGTTATGTAACCTTCTGTGCCTTTGTTTTCTTATATGTAAAGGTGGAATAATGATGGAGCCTATCTCATAGAATATTTATAAGAATTAAATGAGTTAAAGTTTTTAAAGTCCTTAGGGCAGTAGATGACTTAGAGTAGTGCCATACAAGTATTTGTTAGATAAATAAACAGTGGCAATATTTCATGGCCATCTTTGAAATGGCGAGTGTTCAGACTGGCTGGAGCAGTCTTCCCTGTGCGGTTGCTCTGTCCACATACTTAATCCAGCTGAAACCCTCCCTGGGTTTTAACAGCAACATCCCTCGGGCTGGGTTTTCAGCACATCTGCGTTGCTGATGGTTTCCTGGCTGATGTCATCACTATGGGTCTGTATTCTTCACATCTGAGAGGTATCAGGTCAAGGTTAACCCAGGTCCTGAGGCAACTTTATATTGTGTGCAAGGCCTCCAAAAATGACCAGGAAGGCAGGGCCCGGGTCCAGTGAATTATCCCGAAAAGAGACCAAGCCCCAGGTCACTTGTTCCTTCAAGCCCACAGGAACTCCTCTTGAATCCTTAATGATGCTCTCTTGGAACCTGAACTCAAGGATCTTAAGGAGAAATTTTCAGCCCATTAGCTCTGCTCGGTCAGCCTGGCAGTACACCCAGCATCCCAAGGCAGAGAATTCAGGCAAATCAGGGCAATGTTCTCAATGAGTCAAATCAGCAGAGTGCAAGGAAAGAATTCACTCCATTCCAGCAGCTGGCACCAGTTGAGAAGGGTTTGCAAGTGAATAGTCAGCTGGACTTGCGGGAAAGCTTCCCCATCAGCCCAAATAACAGTCAGCTGGACTTGCAGGAGAGCTCCCCCACTGGCCCAAATAACAGTCAGCTGGAATTATAGGAGCGCACCCCCACTGGCCCAAGCTGAGTGGGCTTTTTTCATCTCTGAGCACTTTGTTCCCAGCAAGAGTCTTCTCACATTTCTCTGTGAACTTGATCTGCTTCAAGGTGACCTTGGGATTTGAGGGTGAGGGGCAGGGGTGAGAAGAACATCTCACAGGTGCCTTGCTATGCCATTCTGGGGACAATCAGCTGACTAGTCACCCAACCACTCAGTCCAGCACCCCCACCCCACACCTCCCATTGACACAGACGCTCTGTGTAAGCTTTGCTCCCTAAGCCAGGCACCTGAATCACCACTCTAGCAACCTGCTGCCCTGTGTCCCTCTCCCCCACCTCTCTCATTCTCTCTGCCTTTCTTCACTTAGGCCTTTCCTTTCTTGGGCTCAGATTCTCCCTCCATTCCCCATGAAGAGCTTAGGCCCCTCTTCCCCCAGAACATCCGCTGTGTCCACACTGGCCATCCAGAGAGCTTGATTCCAAGTCTAGGTGGACACAGTATCCCTATATGCCAGCACTCAGTTCCTCTGATGACTGGGGCATCCTACACCTGTGCATCTCAGGGGGCTGCTGATGCTGTTTCCATGGAGACCTAGTCCCATGGACCAGCTTCCTACTTCCACTCACTAAAAACAACCAAAGTCCTCAGTAAGCACCCAGCTCATAGATGAGAACCTGAGGCTGGCAGTGACTCCCATATGATTCATATTCTTTCATCCAAGTTCTGAGATGTTGGGATCCTACAAACGAGAGCAGAGCCTCTTCCCTTCCACCTACAGAGGCCTCACCCATTCAACCCCCACTTACTGTTGGCCATATAGCTAGAGCAGATTACTGTTCACCCCAGCAGCAAGGGCTCCTCCTGCACTTCCGAAGCCACTGCTGCCTCTGCCCTCAAGGATGTCCCCCGCAAGGACCAAACGTCTCAAGTTGCCCTCCTGTCCTGGGACAGGGATATGCCAAGCCCACCAACCACCCGTCCACACTAGGCCCTCACCTGTTCCCTCTTTCTTCTAAGAGCTTGGAAGCTAGAGACTCCCACACTGTCCCTCATGCTCCCCCACTGCCTCTCCAGCCCCCGGAGCCCAGGAAGAGCTGACTACTGCATGCAGGTACATGACCCCATCCAGTACTGGGAGGTCCAGGAACCGCTGTTTCCTCCAAGTGTTTTTCATTTAGGAATCCCATTAGGGGTCTCCATAACCACAACCTGATTAAAAATGACCCCAGGAGGAGGTTTCTCCTAGAAATATTTATGATCACAATTGTAATATAAGTTCCAAGTCGACTGAGCTTGGTGGCTCAGTCTATAATCCCAGCACTTTGCGAGGCCGAGGCAAGTGGATTGCCTGAGTCCGTGGGTTCAAGACCAACCAGGGCAAATTGGTGACACCTTGTCTCTACAGTTAAAAAAAAAATAGCAGGGCATGTTAGCACGTGCCTGTAGTTTCGGTTACTTGGAAGGCTGACGCAGAAGGATCACTGGCGCCCAGAGGTCAACACTGGGGTGGCCATGGGCATGCCACTGCACTCCAGCCTGGACAACAGAGACTCCAACTCAAAAAAAAAAAGTTCTGAGGCACTGAGACCTCATTCCATACTAGGTACTTCTCCTACATTATCTTATTTAATCCTTATCACAGCGCTAAGTTCACTTGGATGGGTGGAATGGGCATCAAGCTCCAATTCCTTCTCTGGGCAGAGGATTCTCCCCGCTCCCTTGGCATCCCTTCCTAACCACCCACTAGTTACCAAATAGCACATCAGCACCAGGACTTTGCAGTTACTAAATAGGAAAGTGTTCCTGTCCTCTGCCTGTCCCACCCCCTGCGCCACTTGTAACTGTGGGCCAGGAGCCTTCTCTATACTTTAGTTCCTCTACTGCTGGGGAAAGACCCATTTCTCGGATCACTTGTACAGTCCCAGATAGGACGTGTCCCACCTGCTGGTCAGGGGCCCTTTCAGTTTTCTCCTGAGCCTGCCCATCTCTTAAGGCTTTACCCAGAGAAAGGTCACACCCCAGACAACATCACCTGTCACCAAGCAGTGGAGGGAGTGACTAATGGCAGCTAGACCACTCAGAGCCCCAGCCCCAGTTTTATATCATACGGTAGCCCCAGAAAATAAAACCTTGGGGACATCAAAAGTCAGGTCGGACTAAGGAACATTTAGGGCTGATCCTCCAAAGTGTCAAGAAAGGGGCTTCCATGAAATGAGTCCTTCTGCCCTGCAACTCCCTCCACCCAGTTCACTCCAGAGAGACCTCCCACACCCTCAGACAAGGACAGGCCAAAAGTGCTCCACAGCTTTGAGACAAAGTTCATCTCACTTTGTCCTTTTGCCTTACCCTCTACTGAGTTTCTCAGCTCTCTGCTTTAGGCAAGACCCCTGCCCATCCCACACTCACACCCACACCCACCAGATAGTGACTTACCAGCCCAAGCCAGACTGTAGAGCACAGCCACTATCAGGGGAACACAGGCCCTCATGGTGTCCAGCTGGAGGCCAAGAGGAGTGGCTGCTAGATTTTCACTAGAATCAAGGTGAATGTCACAGCTCTCAAGTGAGCCTTATTCTCCAGGCTGATCCTTTTAAAGACATTGGGGCTTGTGGATCTGATGTCTCCAAATCCTTCCAGGAGGAAAAAGGGGAGGGAGGGATCCTAGATGGATAGGAGGCTTAGGAGGCGGAGGAAAGGTGGAACCTACAGCTGTTTGAAGCCAGAGGGAAGGTGACTAAGCAGGCAGGTAATGCCAGATGTTTAGAACAGGTAATGCTGGCTGTTCATCGCTAGAAATTAGGTCATGCAGGAAGATACAGTATGATGGGCCTAGTTTGGGGGGTTCTTTGTTCAAATTAGGGACAGTTATGGACTCATCCTTGGGTGGTCCCCTCCAAACAGTCACCTATCTACAAGTCTACCTGACCTTCCAAGATGCCCCAGGTGGGCTTCACCTTTGAATTCCTAGTGCTCAGCTTGACAATGGCACGTGGGTAAGATGATCTTTACAAGTTTGACAAAGAGTAAGTGCCCAAGCAAGGGTTGGGGCCATTGAAGGAGAGATATGGGAAGTATGGGTTAGGAACAAGTGCTGTTCTTAATGCCATCAAGCTCAGCACAGCTGAATCAGCCACACATAGCCACATGTGGCTACAGTACCCTAAAAATAGCATGCAAATAACCCTCACTAAGTCAGCACCTCAGGGTCTACATGCTTCAGGTTCTCAGGTTCCAGGTTTAAGAGGCAATGGAAGGGTAGGAGGCCTCTTTTATTTATTTTTATTTTTTGAGTCAGAATCTCCGTTGCCCAGGCTGGAGTGCAGTGGCACGATTATGGCTTACCGCAAGCCTCTATCTCATGGACTTAGGCACTTAGGAACTACAGGCACATGTCACCATGTCCAGTTAATTTTTTTTTTTTTTTTGAGTTGGAGTCTCACTCTGTTGCCCAGGCTGGAGTGCAGAGTCATGCTCATGGCCACCACAGCCTCAACCAGCTGGGCTCAGGCGATCCTTCTACCTTAGCCTTCCAAGTAGCTGGAACCACAGGCAGGTGCTACCATGCCTGGTTTATTTTTTGATTTATTATAGAGACAAGATCTCATCAAGTTGCCCAGGCTGGTCTCGAAACCCAACGCTCAGGCAATCCTCTTGCCTTGGTCTCCCAAAGTGCTGGGATTACAGTCTGAGCCACCATGCCTGACCAATTTTTTGATTTTTTTTATAGAGATGGGGGTCTCACTACGTTGTCCAGGCTGGTCTCAAACTCCTGGGCTCAAGTGCTTCTTCTACCTTCGCTTCCCAAAGTGCTGGGATTACAGGCATGAGCCACCATGCCCAACCAGAGGCCTCTTAAAGGTAGCCAAAGTACCCACCTTCTTCAACAGAGAGCCTAGGGTTCCAGTCCCTTCATCCCCTACTTATACCCCTCTCCCTAAGGGTCCCTACCCCAGAGAGAAAGGAGGTTTCTCAGGGCTCCTTTGTTTCCAAGTCCAGAGAAGAGGAGCAGCTCCCTATGGCTATCAAGTTTCCCTTCCTCATAAAGATAAAGTCTGTTAAGTAAAATACCCTTTCCAGAAAGATCGCTGTGTGGGGATTCTCAGCCTTCTCAAAAAAAGAAACAGTCATATAAAAAGGCAAAATTGATGAACAATGGAGTCTAATCTATAAGTGACTTTTCTCTGGAGGTGGAGGGGTGCAGCACACCTTCTTCATCACTTTAACAGTAGACATTTCTTCCTCTCTCTGGTCTTTCTTATCTGTAAGATGATGGAGTTGGCTCTGACAATCCCTAAAGTTCTCAGACTTTAACTTTGGTTTCCTGCCCATGTGCCAGGTTGAGTAGCTGAGTAGCTAGCTGCTGGTGAATAACTCCCAACTCTTTGCTGTGTAGAGGTGAGACCAAACATAGGATGTTGGGATGAAGAGAAGGACACACTTAGAACAATTCACTCTCACAAGGTACTTACACCGGAAGCACAGCTGGGGAGTGAGCCTGGCCCTTCTTTCCCAGAAGGGAGCTGGCTAAAGGGAGTGAGAGCAGACATGGCTGCTTTGCATAAGTTTCATTTGCACAACCCCAAACAGGCTGTGTAGCCACTGCCAGCCAGAATCATCCTCCCTAGGTTGGCACCACATATCTCTGACTCCGGTTGTTTAAGAAACAAAGGAGGGTGTCCCTGGCTGAGCTAGGAAGCAATGATGCCTCAGAATTTGGGACTGGATGGTCTGTCCCTTCCAAGTGCCCAGCTGTGTGAACCCTGGCTGAAGCCAAAGGTGTCAGAGTGGGAGTGCAGCCTGGCCAGGTCCCCTGGTGTCCTGCTGAACTGACTATGGAATGGCATTTTGAGGACAGGAGCTTTTCCCTCCATCAGGGGAATTTTGGGTCAGGAGCAAGGGTGGGAGGGACCTGGGGAAGACAATTGGGACTGACTCTACAGAGCCAGATGGATCATCTGAGGACACAAGTGTTTCAAACTACATCCTTCAACAAGAACGGCAGCCTTAACAACCACCACCAGTTTTGACTGAGCACTCACCACATGTCACACACACAGAGTGTGTATCTCATCTCACTGATTCCCACTACAACCTTAATAGGTACTATCAGCCGGGCTCGGTGGCTCAGCCTGTAATCCCAACGCTTTGGGAGGTTGAGGTGAGTGGATTGCCTGAGCCCGCGGGTTCGCAACCCGCCTGGGCAACTTGGCGAGCCCTCATCTCTACAATAAATCAAAAATCAGCTGGGCGTGGTAGTGCGTGCCTGTAGTTCCAGCTACTTGGAAGGCTGAGGCAGAAGGATCGCCAGAGCCCAGCAGGTCGAGGCTGTGGTGGCTGGGAGTGGCAACTGAACTCCAGTCTGGGTGACAGAGTGAGACTCCAACTCAAAAAAAAAAAAAATAGGTACTATCATTGTCCTCATTTTATGGATAAGGAAACCGAGGCCCGGAAAGCTTAGGAAGTATGTTCAGAAGCACACTATTAAGTCATGCGACAGAGGTTCAAACCCAGGTCCATCCAACTAGCAGTCATCCTCGTAAGCACTGATGCCCTCCATTGCTCTACAAACATCACACTTTCACCCGCCACTTAATCATGTCTGGGTTACTATGCGAAGTGGGCTAGGTTAAAATTCACTGGAATTAAAGGGACCTCAGTGACCTGCTAGTTCTACTTCTCATATGGTTTTGCAACCCACAAAACAATACTAAGTGTTAGTCCTGCCTCCATATCAATGCCTCTGGCGCCGGGGGTGGGGGTAGGATGGGGGAAGGGGTTGGGTCACACCCTCTCAGGGCTGTTCATCCCTGCCCTTCTCTGATCTGATGCCCAAATCCTAGGATTTTACAATCCAAGATGTGCTGATGTAGGCAAAGGTAGATAGAGCAGTAGAAAAAAGCCCAGTAAGCCAATAAATGAACATACATCAATACATTCATACAAAGGTGCCTCATAGATAAACTTAGGTGTTCATATATACATACAAGGTACATCCAACAGCTTTCTCTTCCTTGCTGGCCTGGTCTGGACACAGAACTCTGCTGCTCCTCATTCTGAATGCTCCCCTAGTTAGGTACTTACATGGGCTTCCCACTCTCAAAAGTTTCCCAAGGAGACATGGCAGGGACCAGCCAGCCAGGTGGGAGTCCTGGTAGGCTGGGTTCTGGAGACCTGCAGTTGGGGCTCCCGTGGAGGGTGGGGGAGAGGGTGAGGCTGCTTGGGCAAGGATCCAGGAAGCATTTACCTGCCAGTTGCAGGGGATAAGAATTCCACCAGCAGATGTTTACTGAATGCTCACTATATACCAGGTGCTACGCTGTTATTAGACTGTCAGGATTCAGACGTGGCTGGAGTAGAGAACTCTTCCTAGAAAGGGTTGGTTTCTGGGGGGACAGAAGACAGATAAGCTATAGCATTAGGCTGTTGTTTGAAGTAGCCTCACTCACCTCTGGACTGACACCTCTGGGATGTCAGGGGCCTGTCAGGATCAACGAGCTATGAGAGTGACTAGCCCAGGGGAGTGCTAAAGTGGACACCTGCCCAAGTCAGCCGATTCCACCACCTTGTCCTTCTGTGAAACCAAGACCAAGTTATTTTAGCCAAGAACCTGAGCCTGGAAGGACTCTGCGGCTGACCCAGCACAAGTGAGGCTTGGACTTATCTCCAAGGAGAGGCCAGCCTCCATCCTGCTGTGGCCTGGGAATGCTGCCCTGGCCTCAGGAGAGAGGCCTGGGATGATGACCCACATCTGATCTTACTGTGTCTTAGAAATGGCTCCATGTGTGGTTTCTTTCCCCACATTGGTTTGTACGCTGCATACCACATTTGTGTCCAGGCTTTTGTTTAAGTCTGTGGGCAGCCCTGACATCCAGCATCATACTCCCTGCCTGGCCTGACATCTCACAGACCTGCTGGCTGGGTCCACTCATCCCCAAGCCTCAGGTTGGGTTTCTGGTTCTGCAGGCCATGCCCCACGCCCGTCCTCAGCCTGGAATGCCCTCTCACCACCCTCCCTACTCAGCTGTCTCCTTCCTACTCATCATCCAGCTCCAGGGCAAATCTACCCTTCCACAAAGCCTGACTTCCTCCCTCCAGCCCACAGGATCGCTCCTGCCAATGGACTCAGCACTCAATACATGTCCTGTGTGCCTTTGACACAGTACAACCATCTCTGATAGAGCTGTGCATCAGTTAACTCCTCCTCCATACAGGATGATTCTTTAGCTCACCTCTGAAATACCTTGAGACGGGGATCCTGCCTCATGAGTCCCCTCGGCTACTTTGCATTGACATCCATGTGTGTTAGAACTGTCAACATGTGACCAGCAATGAGTCAATACATGAATGGAGGAGGGAACAGTTATTAAAGACTTGAGTGAAGATGATTAGCAAGACAGAGAGCAGATGGATCCCCTGAGCTCTGAAGTTTCCAGAGTTTGTACCAAGCAGGGAAGTGGGGCCTCAGAACTCATCTCACAGTTGCAATATCAGAGCAAACACACTATTTTTGTTATTGTATGTTTATTTGGGCTTAATGGATATTTAGGGGGACTGAAACCCCCAAGCCACCCCCCAGCACCACCACTGCAAGCACAGCCACTCTAGGGATCAGACAGAACCAGAATTCTGGCAG